ATGTCAAAATGACGTTGACATTCTAAACCGGAAGTTGACCATAACTTCATTAATATTGAAGATAAATATGTCGTGTTTGTACTCATTTTAAAGGATTTTTAATGAAGAATAGAAATATGTCAAAATTGAGGTTGACATTTTAAACCTGAAGTTAGTTATCATATAATAGACAACTTCATGGTGTTCTTTCATGATGTATTCGTTATTAAAAAAATTAAAAAGTTCAAACTGACATATTTGTCATCTTCATTAAAAAACCTTTAAAATGAGTCCAAACATGACGCACATTTTACAAAAATTAAGAATATATCAAAATGACATTGACATTTCAAACCGGAAGTTGCTTATATCTCGAGTAATATTGGAAATAAACGTATCATGTTTGGGCTCATTTTAAAGGATTTTTAATGAACATTACAAATATATCAAAATTGAGGTGGACCTTTTAAACATTTTTCTCAACATTATACATTAGTCGCAAGTTATGTAAATTTTAATTATTGAAATAAATCATTTTTAGGTCCTCCGATTTTGGCGGAAGACCATTTGGATATTCAAGGACAACCGATTAACCCGTGGGCGCGAATTTATCCGAAAGAAATGATCCAGACTGGAATAAGCGCGATTGATGTCATGAATTCGATCGCTCGCGGGCAAAAAATCCCAATCTTTTCCGCAGCCGGGCTCCCCCACAATGATATCGCAGCGCAAATTTGTCGCCAAGCCGGGTTGGTAAAACACGAAGGTCGGCCGCCTGTCCGAGATGATTTCGCGATCGTTTTTGCTGCGATGGGGGTGAATATGGAAACGGCGCGATTTTTTAAGCAAGATTTCGAGGAGAACGGAACGATGGAGAATGTTTGTTTGTTTTTGAATTTGGCGAATGATCCAACGATTGAGAGGATTATCACGCCGCGTTTAGCGCTAACCGCGGCTGAGTTTTTGGCTTATCAATGTGAAAAGCATGTTTTGGTGATTTTGACGGATATGTCATCGTATGCGGAGGCTTTGAGGGAGGTTTCGGCGGCGAGGGAGGAAGTTCCCGGGAGGAGAGGATTTCCTGGGTGCGATTTATCATTTTTAATCAATTTATTTTTTAATTTGACTTGGTTTTTTTAATTTTAGTTACATGTATACGGATTTAGCTACGATTTATGAGAGAGCTGGTCGGGTGGAAGGACGAAATGGCTCGATAACCCAAATTCCCATCTTAACAATGCCTAACGACGACATAACCCATCCCATTCCCGACCTAACCGGCTACATAACCGAAGGTCAAATTTACGTGGACCGCCAAATGCACAACCGACAAATTTACCCCCCAATAAACGTGTTACCCTCGCTTTCTCGGCTAATGAAATCGGCGATTGGTGACGGAATGACCCGAATCGATCACTCGGACGTTTCGAATCAATTATACAGTTGTTACGCGATTGGAAGAGATGTCCAAGCGATGAAAGCGGTTGTTGGAGAGGAAGCTTTGACCCCCGACGATTTATTGTATTTAGAGTTTTTAATGAAATTCGAAAAGAATTTTATTGGGCAAGGAACTTACGAGAAACGCACGATTTTTGAGTCCTTAGATCTGGGATGGCAATTATTAAGGATTTTTCCGAGAGAGATGTTAAAAAGAATTCCTTCCGCGGTTTTAGACGAATATTACCCAAGACGCTAGATTAATTAAGATTTGATATAATAATAATAATTCAAATAAACATTTATTTTTATTGTTTACAAACTCCTAATAATATGTTGCAAACGGGGCAGTAATGCTCGACTTTTTGGCAACGTTTCATAACGTAGGGGAGACAAACGCAAGGCCAACATCTAAAACATTAAGAAAGATTAAAAAAGTTAATTGATTAATTAATTGTTTGTTTTAGGTATTGTTACAAGGCGAGAAATAAAAGTAGAGCGTGAAGATGCGTTTTGGCGGTGGGCTTCGTGGATGTTTTAGTTTGAATTTGAACTTTGCAACCGCGACAAATTGTTATTTCGGGTTCAACTCCAAAATTATAACTGGTGTTGAGTAAAAGTGGAAATGAAGCGGATTCTAAAAAAATAAAATCAAAAAAATATTCATTAAATAGCCATAAATTTGAGATTGTTATAAGTAAATAAGTATTCAATAATTAATGATCAAACTAACAATTTTAGGAAAAAATGTCAACAGACAAAAAGTTGCGTGTTGAATCCCTCCATTTAAACCAAGTTTTTAAATAAAAAAATGTGGACGCATTAAAAAGTTCTGATGCAAAATGTTGTAGGGGTTGATTTTTTCACCCTCTTGTAATAACACTTTAGGACTACAAAAATCGTTGCATTAACAAGTTATCTGTCAAAACTCTACTAAATTCCTCCATATTTTTTCCCCTAACTTCAAAATCACCCTTCGAAATCTTTCGCGTCAAATTAAGAAACACCTGTATATCAAAAATTAAAAATGATGGAAAGAAATGTTTCAGATAAAGAATGTTCTAAATTAACTTAAAAAATGATTGCTAAAAAGATTTTTTGCCCATCTATTAGAATTGCCAACCTAAAAGAGAAAAACTGAAAATTGACATTTCTAGCATTAAAATAGGTTATAAATCAAAAAATAAAAATGATGGAAAGAAATGTTTTGGATGAAGAATGTTCTAAATTAATGTGGAAAATGAATGATAGAAAGATTTTTTGCCCATCGATTAAAATTGCCAAACTAAAAAATAGAACAACTCGAAATTGACATTTCTAGCATTAAAATAGGTTATAAATCAAAAAGTAAGAATGATGGAAAGAAATGTTTCGGATGAAGAATGTTCTAAATTAATGTGGAAAATGAATGATAGAAAGATTTTTTGCCCATCAATTAAAATTGCCAACCTAAGAGAAAAAAAACTCAAAATTGACGTTTCTAACATTAAAATAGGTTATATATCAAAAAGTAAAACTGATGGAAAGATCTGTTTTAGATAAAAAATGATCTAAATTAACCTAAGAGATGATTGCTAAAAAGATTTTTTGTTCAACGATTAAAATAGCTAACCTAAAAGATACAAAATATCAAAATTAACACTTTTCGCATTAAAATAGGTTATAAATCAAAAAGTAAAAACGATGGGAAGAAATGTTTCGGATAAAGAATGCTCTAAATTAACCTAAAAAATAATTGCTAAAATGATTTTTTGTTCATCGATTAAAATTGCCAACCTAAAAAATAAACAAAGTTAAAATTGACATTTCAAGCATTAAAATAGGTTATATATCAAAAAGTAAGAATGATGGAAAGAAATGTTTCTGATAAAAAATATTCTAAATTAATGTGGAAAATAAATGACAGAAAGATTTTTTGCCCATCAATTAAAATTGCCAACCTAAGAGAAAAAAAACTCAAAATTGACATTTCTAACATTAAAATAGGTTACATATCAAAAAGTAAAACTGATGGAAAGATATGTTTTAGATAAAAAATGATCTAAATTAACCTAAGAGATGATTGCTAAAAAGATTTTTTGCCCATCGATTAAAGTTGCCAATCTAAAAGATAGAACACCTCGAAATTGACATTTTTAGCATTAAAATAGGTTATAAATCAAAAAATAAAAATGATGGAAAGAAATGCTTCAGATAAAAAATGATTTAAATGAACTTAAAAAATAACTGTTAAAAAGATTTTTTGCCCAACGATTAAAATTGCCAACCTAAAAGATCGAAAAACTCAAAATTGACACTTTTCGCATTAAAATAGGTTATAAATCAAAAAATAAAAATGATGGAAAGAAATGTTTCAGATAGCAAACTTTCTAAATTAACCTGGAAAATGAATGATAGAAAGATTTTTTGCCCATCGGTTAAAATTGCCAACCTAAAAGATAGAACAACTTCAAATTGACATTTCTAGCATTAAAATAGGTTATATATTAAAAAGTAAGACAGATGGCAAGAAATGTTTTAGATAAAAAATGATCTAAATTAACCTAAGAGATGATTGCTAAAAAGATTTTTTGCCCATCGATTAAAATTGCCAACCTAAAAGAGAAAAACTAAAAATTGACGTTTCTGAGGTTAAAATTGGAAATAAAACAAAAATTAAAAATGATGGGAAGAAATGTTTCGGATAAAGAATGTTCTAAATTAACCTAAAAGATGATTGCTAAAAAGATTTTTTCCCCATCGATTAAAATTGCCAACCTAAAAGATAAAAAAAGTCAAAATTGACGTTTCTAAGACTAAAATTGGTTATAAATCAAAAATTAAAAATGATGGAAAGAAATGTTTCGGATAAAAAATGTTCTAAATTAACTTAAAAGATGATTGCTAAAAANAATGGAAATACAATCACTTCCGGTTTGAAATGTCAACGCTAATTTTGACATATTTGTCATCTTCATTAAAAAACCTTTAAAATGAGTCCAAACATGACCTATTTATCTCAAAAAACAAAAAAGTTAGAATGAAAAACGTTAAACCGGAAGTTAGCAACAATTTAATTTTTAAATATTAATACCAACCTTAATTTTTGATTTTTTTTAGTATATTTCTGTTTTTGTGACAAATTTTAACACATTCTATAAAAATGAAGAATTATATCAAAATGGCATTGACATTTCAAACCGGAAGTTGCTTATATCTCGAGTAAAATTGGAATTAAACGTATCATGTTTGGGCTCATTTTAAAGGATTTTTCACGACGATTACAAATATGTCAAAATTGACGTTGACATTCTAAACCGGAAGTTGACCATAACTTCATTAATATTGAAGATAAATATGTCGTGTTTGTACTCGTTTTAAAGGATTTTTAATGACGATTACAAATATGTCAAAATTGAGGTTGACATTTCTAATTTGTCATCTTCATTAAAAAACCTTTAAAATGAGTCCAAACATGACGCACATTTTACAAAAATTAAGAATATATCAAAATGACATTGACATTTCAAACCGGAAGTTGCTTATATCTCGAGTAATATTGGAATTAAACGTATCATGTTTGGACTCATTTTNTCGAAGTTATTATTTCTAGCATTAAAATAGGTTATAAATCAAAAAGGAAAAATGATGGGAAGAAATGTTTCTGATAAAAAATGTTCTAAATTAACCTGAAAAATGAATGGTAGAAAGATTTTTCACCCATCGGTTAAAATTGCCAACCTAAAAGATTAAACAACTTAAAATTGACATTTCTAGAATTAAAATAGGTTATACAGGTTGTGTCAAATGTCTGGAATATAACCAATAACTTCGCCATTTGTGGTTTTAAAGAAAAATGTTTTAAATAAAAGTTCCTTTATTAATTCATTAATTGTGGTGCATTTTTGACAGCTACCAATGACGAAACTACATTAAATGTATGAAACTGTCATTTTTGAACATTTAAAGCTGTCAATGGCGTGATTTCAGTGCCTACTTTGATTGTAAATTAGAGATTTAATATTTTCGGAAAACGCATTTTTTTCTTATACAACCATATGATTTGATATGTTCATCGTATAGAGGGACTTATCCTCTATCAAAGTATGCAAAAAAAACATATGCATCCCATTTAAAATAACAATATTGGTTGAAATAGCAACGAAACAAACAACAATACAAACAAGCAAATACTGGCAAAAAATGTGCCACGATTAATAATGATAATAGTATTTGAAACATTTTTGTTTAAAATCATAAATGGCGAAGTTATTGGCTATATCCCAGACATTTACACTCTGTATGTCAAAAAGTATGATGGAAAGAAATATTTCGGATGAAGAATGTTATAAATTAACCTGGAAAATGAATGATAGAAAGATTTCTTGCCCATCGATTAAAATTGCCAACCTAAAAGATAGAAAAACTCGAAATTGACATTTCTAGCATTAAAATAGGTTGTATATCAAAAATTAAAAATGATGGAAAGAAATGTTTCGAATAAAGAATGTTCTAAATTAACCTAAAAAATGATTGCTAAAAAGATTTTTTGCCCATCGATTAAAATTGCCAACCTAAAAGATAAAAAAAGTCAAAATTGACGTTTCTAAGACTAAAATTGGTTATAAATCAAAAATTAAAAATGATGGAAAGAAATGTTTCGGATAAAAAAAGCTCTAAATTAACTTAAAAAATGATTGTTGAAAACAATTTTTGCCCATCGATTAAAATTGCCAATCTAAAAGAGAAAAACTCAAAATTGATGTTTTTAAGAATAAAATTGGATATAAATCAAAAAGGAAAAATAATGGGAAGAAATGTTTCGGATAAAAAATGTTCTAAATTAACTTAAAAGATGATTGCTAAAAAGATTTTTTGTCCATCGATTAAAGTTACCAACCTAAAAGATAGAACAAGTCGAAATTAACATTTCTAGCATTAAAATAGGTTATATATCAAAAATTAAAAATGATGGAAAGAAATGTTTCGGATAAAGAATGTTCTAAATTAACTTAAAAGATGATTGCTAAAAAGATCTTTTGTCCATCGATTAAAGTTGCCAACCTAAAAGATAGAACAAGTCGAAATTGACATTTCTAGTATTAAAATAGGTTGTATATTAAAAATTAAAAATGATGGAAAGAAATGTTTCGGATAAAGAATGTTCTAAATTAACCTAAAAAATGATTGCGAAAAAGATTTTTTGCCCATCGATTAAAATTGCCAACCTAAAAGATAAAAAAAGTCAAAATTGACGTTTCTAAGACTAAAATTGGTTATAAATCAAAAATTAAAAATGATGGAAAGAAATATTTCGGATAAAAAATGTTCTAAATTAACTTAAAAGATGATTGCTAAAGAGATCTTTTGTCCATCGATTAAAGTTGCCAACCTAAAAGATAGAACAAGTCGAAATTGACATTTCTAGCATAAAATAGGTTATATATCAAAAATTAAAAATGATGGAAAGAAATGTTTCGGATAAAGAATGTTCTAAAATAACCTAAAAAACGATTGCTAAAAAGATTTTTTGCTCATCGATTAAAATTGCCAACCTAAAAGATAAAAAAAAGTCAAAATTGACGTTTCTAAGATTAAAATTGGTTATAAATCAAAAATTAAAAATGATGGGAAGAAATGTTTCGGATAAAAAATGTTCTAAATTAACTTAAAAGATGATTGCTAAAGAGATTTTTTGTCCATCGATTAAAGTTGCCAACCTAAAAGATAGAACAAGTCGAAATTGACATTTTTAGCATTAAAATAGGTTGTATATCAAAAATTAAAAATGATAGAAAGAAATGTTTCAGATAAAGAATTTTCTAAATTAATCTAAAAAATGAGTGCTAGAAAGATTTTTTGCCCATCGATTAAAATTGCCAACCTAAAAGATAAAAAGAGTCAAAATTGACGTTTCTAAGATTAAAATAGGTTATAAATCAAAAATTAAAAATGATGGAAAGAAATGTTTCGAATAAAAAATGTTCTAAATGAACGTAAAAAATGATTGTTAAAAAGATTTTTAATAAAATTGCCAACCTAAAAGATAAAAACTCAAAATTGATGTTTTTAAGATTAAAATAGGTTATAAATCAAAAAGAAAAATGTTCTAAATTAATCTAATAAATGATTACTAAAATACCACGCAAGCTAACCTCGTAATGTGTATGTTCCAACATCCATTTTATATTAAAACTTAATAACAACTAAATTATTTTCCAATTCAAACCGAATTTATACCATTAAATAACAAATAATTTCTAAATTATTACAACAAAAAATTTTAACTTTGTGTAAACACCCAAAAAGTTACAAAAACTATTTCCTTTTTGCTTCTATTTAGTAATAAGAGGGTGCTAGAAAGTCGTAGAAAACCGGTTAACCCCCCCATCTCCGCCACTTTTATTAGTAAAACCAACAGGGCGCATAATGGGTCGAAACCCCGAAACTTTCTAAATGTAAAAAGTTTGATTGGATCCGAACCGTTGTAAATGTCGTTTCTAAATGGCTCAAACTCTCCCGTTTTCATATACGCGGACTTTCCAAGTATCAATTTATCCGAGCACTTTTATTACACCCACTAGACATTGATTTTCAATCGATAAACAAAAATTAATTTCAACTAACCTTATTCATCGTCGTCGTCGTCGTCGTCATCATCCGGCTTGATAATCCCCAAAGTTTTCGCAACCTTTTTAACGTTCGCGATGACCTCCTCCTGAACCAAATTAAAACTCATCGCTAACAAAGCGATCCCAAATAACAAATATAAACTGCAAAACGCGATGTTTTGTTTGTATCCGCTTAAATCTTCGACGCGTTGCGATGGGAATAAATCGCCGAAACCGATTGTTGTTAAAGTGATGAAGCAGAAGTATGCGGAATTTAAGTAAGACCAAGATTCCCAGTGTGCGAATAAAAAAGTTCCTGCTATTATGTAACTAATAACCAGGAAGACGCACAACCAGATTGGAACGGGACGAGTTCGAACTCGTTCCGAGTCGTAATAATCGTTGTTATCGGTGGCGTAATCGTCGTCGGAAACGGGGTCGTCAAGGTATTTGCTGCGATGGCCGTAACCTAAGGGTGACATGATGGCCGGGCTTGGATGGTAGGCTGGTTTCTTCCTTTTTTGGCGGGTTGTTGTTAAAGTGTTGGAACTTTTTATTGAGGAGTCTTCCCCGCCGCCTGTGTCACCTCTTTCGTGGTATAAAGAGGATGTTGGGGAGCTATCTCGGGGGAGCTCTAAGTGGTATTGAGTGCGTGGCATTGAAATCGCTCTTCGACCGTGAGGGGGTGAAGGAAATTGTTTTGGTCTTGAAAATTTCTTTGCTGAAATAATAAACGTTAAATTAGTCTAAAAAATAATAATAAAAATAATCGATTAATACAGGATGTCCGGAAATGACGTGTACAACGCAATATACAAAATTGCTTAGTTTAGCCGCTAGAGGGCTTTAAAAATAACAGCTTTTTTTAAATAAGTCGGAAAATCCTATTATAGCTATTTGTAGAATAAACTCTAATTTCGAAAATTATAGGGTGCTTAAAAACTTTGTCACAATAAATTATGTATCCATATCTTTTTAACCCCCTTTACAAACACTACCACTCTTTTTTTCTTAGTAGTTACTTTAATTTAGAAACTATTTTCTCTCTTACAAAATTTTAGTTGGGTGAACGGTTTAGCCACAAACTTAAACTTGATAGCGGTATTCGTATTTTTTGTTTTGCATTTTATCTTTGATTCATCATGAATGTTTAACGCCCTCTAACGGCTAAACTAAGCAATTTTGTATATAGATAAGTTGAGTTAAATCATCATAGTTGTACACGTTATTTCGGGACACCTGTATAAAACTCAAAATGACATTTCTAGGATTATAAATAAAAAAGTAAAAATGATGGGAAGAAATGTTTCGGATAAAAAAACATCTTAATTAACCTAGAAAATGATTGGTAAAGAGATTTGTTGCCCATCGATTAAAATTGCCAACCTAAAAGCTAGAACAACTCAAAATTGACATTTCTAGCATTAAAATAGGTTATATATCAAAAAGTAAGAATGATGGAAAGCAATGTTTTGGATAAAAAGTGTTCTAAATTAATGTAAAGAAGGATTGCTAACAAGATTTTTTGCCCATCGATTAAAATTGCCAACCTAAAAGATAGAAAAGCTCAAAATTGACATTTCTAGCATTAAAGAGATTATATATCAAAAAATAAGAATAATGGAAAGCTATGTTTCGGATAAAAAGTGTTCTAAATTAATCTAAAAAAGGATTCCTAACAAGATTTTTTGCCCATCTATTAAAATTGCCAACTTAAAAAATAGAAAAGCTTAAAATTGACATTTCTAGCATTAAAATAGGTTACAAATCATAAAGTAAAAATGATGGGAAGAAATGTTGCGAATAAAAAATGTTCTAAATTAACCTAAAAAATGATTGCTAAAAAGATTTTTTTGTCCATCGGTTAAAATTGCCAACCTAAATGATAAGATGCTTAAAATTGACGTTTCTAAGATTAAAATTGAATATAAATCGAAAACGAAAAGTGATGGGAAGAAATGTTTGGGATAAAAATTGTTCTAAATTAATCTAAAAAATGATTGCTAAAAAGATTATTTGCCCATCGATTAAAATTGCCAACCTAAAAGATAATAAATTCAAAACTGACACTTTTAGCATTGAAATAGGTTATAAATCAAAAAGGAAAAATGATGGAAAGAAATGTTTGGAATAAAAATTGTTCTAAATTAATCTAAAAAGTGATTGCTAAAAAGATTTTCTGCCCATCGATTAAAATTGCCAACCTAAAAGATAATAAATTCCAAATTGACACTTTTAGCATTGAAATAGGTTATAATCAAAAAGTAAAAATGATGGGAAGAAATGTTTGGAATAAAAATTGTTCTAAATTAATCTAAAAAGTGATTGCTAAAAAGATTTTCTGCCCATCGGTTAAAATTGCCAACCTAAAAGATAATAAATTCAAAATTGACACTTTTAGTATTGAAATAGGTTATAAATCAAAAAGTAAAAATGATGGAAAGAAATGTTTGACATAAAAATTATTCTAAATTAATCTAAAAAGTGATTGTTAAAAAGATTTTTTGCCCAACGATTAAAATTGCCAACCTAAAAGGCAATAAAGTCAAAATTGACACTTTTAGCATTGAAATAGGTTATAAATCAAAAAGTAAAAATGATGGAAAGAAATGTTTGGGATAAAAATTGTTCTAAATTAACATAAAAGATGATTGCTAAAAAGATTTTTTGCCCATCGATTAAAATTGCCAACCTCAAAAAGATGAAAAACTCAAAATTGATGTTTTTAGGATTTAAATTGGATATAAATCGAAAAGTACAAATGATGGAAAGAAATGTTTGTGATAAAAATTGTTCTAAATTAATCTAAAAAGTGATTGATAAAAAGATTTTCTGCCCATCGATTAAAATTGCCAACCTAAAAGATAATAAATTCAAAATTGACACTTTTAGCATTGAAATAGGTTATAAATCAAAAAGTAAAAATGATGGGAAGAAATGTTTGGTATAAAAATTGTTCTAAATTAATCTAAAAAGTGATTGCTAATAAGATTTTTTGCCAATCGATTAAAATTGCTAACCTCAAAAACATGAAAAACTCAAAATTGATGTTTTTAGGATTCAAATTGGATATAAATCGAAAAGGAAAAGTGATGAGAAGAAATGTATTGGATAAAAATTGTTCTAAATTAACATAAAAGATGATTGCTAAAAAGATTTTTTGCCCATCGATTAAAATTGTCAACCTCAAAAAGATGAAAAATTCAAAATTAATGTTTTTAGGATTTAAATTGGATATAAATCGAAAAGGAAAAGTGATGGGAAGAAATTTATTGAATAAAAAATGTTCTAAATTAATCTAAAAAGTGATTGCTAAAAAGATTTTTTGCCCATCGATTAAAATTGTCAACCTCAAAAAGATGAAAAACTCAAAATTGACACTTTTAACATTGAAATAGGTTACAAATCAAAAAGTATAAATGATGGAAAGAAATGTTTGGGATAAAAATTGTTCTCAATTAACATAAAAAGTGATTGCTAACAAGATTTTTTGCCTATCGATTAAAATTGCCAACCTAAAAGATAGAAAAGCTCAAAATTGACGTTTCTAGCATCAAAATAGGTTATAAATCATAAAGTAAAAACGATAGCAAGAAATGTTTTGGATAAAAAATGTTCTAAATGAACCTGGAAAATGAATAACAGAAAGATTTTTTCCATATCGGTTAAAGTTGCCAATCTAAAGGATAGAACAACTCAAAATTGACATTTCTAGCATTAAAATAGGTTATACATCAAAAAGTAAGAATGATGGGAGGGAATGTTTCGGATAAAAAATGATCTAAATTAACTTAATAGAAAATTGCTAAAAACATGTTTTGCCCATCAATCAAAATTGCCAACCTAAAAGATAAAATGCTCAAAATTGACATTTTTAGCATAAAAAGAGGTTATAAATCATAAAGTAAAAATGATAGAAAGAAATGTTTTGGATAAAATATGTTCTAAATGAACCTGGAAAATGAATAACAGAAAGATTTTTTTCATATCGGTTAAAGTTGCCAATCTAAAGGATAGAACAACTCAAAATTGACATTTCTAGCATTAAAATAGGTGATACATCAAAAAGTAAGAATGATGGAAGGAAATGTTTCGAATAAAAAATGTTCTAAATTAACCTAAAAGATGATTGCTAACAAGATGATTTGCCCATTGATTTAAAATGCCAACCTAAAAGATAGAAAAGCTCAACATTGACGTTTCTAGCACTAAAATAGGTTATAAATCAAAAAATAAGAATGATGGAAAACAATATTTCGGATAAAAAGTGTTCTAAATTTACCTAGAAAATGATTGCTAAGAGGATATTTAGACCATCGATTAAAATTGCCAACCTAAAAGATAAAAAAGTCAAAATTGACATTTCTAGCATTAATATAGGTTATATTTCAAAAAATAAGAATGATGGGAGGGAATGTTTCGGATAAAAAATGATCTAAATTAACTTAATAGAAAATTTCTAAAAACATGTTTTGCCCATCAATCAGAATTGCCAACCTAAAAGATAAAATACTCAAAATATGGCATTTCTAGCATCAAAATAGGTTATAAATCATAAAGTAAAAACGATAGCAAGAAATGTTTTGGATAAAAAATGTTCTAAATTTATCTAGAAAATGATTGCTAATACGATATTTTGACCATCGATTAAAATTGCCAACCTAAAAGATAAAAAAGTCAAAATTGACATTTCTAGCATTAATATAGGTTATATTTCAAAAAATAAGAATGACGGGAGGAAATGTTTCGGATAAAAAATGATCTAAATTAACTTAATAGAAGATTGCTAAAAACATGTTTTGCCCATCAATCAAAATTGCCAACCTAAAAGATAAACTGCTCAAAATATGGCATTTCTAGCATTAAAATAGGTTATAAATCATAAAGTAAAAACGATAACAAGAAATGTTTTGGATAAAAAATGTTCTAAATGAACCTAATAAATGATTGCTAAAACGATTTTTTGCCCATTGATTAAATTTGCCAACCTATAAGATTGAAAACCTGAAATTCTCAAAATGGACATTTGTACTATTAATATATAGGTTATAAATCAAAAAGTAAGTATGATGGAAACAAATGTTTCGTATAAAAAATGTTCTAAATGAGCCTAAAAATCGAATGCAATAAACAGTTTTTATCCAACGATTAAAATTATCAACCTATAAAGCTTAAAATATCAAAATTTACAAAATTGACGATTTCATCATCAAAACCATACTTTGATTCACATGATTTCCCACCGAATGATCCATTTTTTCCATAGCATATCGATTACAATACACCGAAGTCTTTTCAACATTGCTCGAATCGACCATCGCCTCTAAATTTCGAGACGACGCCGCCTGCATTTTCCTCCTATCTAAAGAACCTCCTCTACTTCCGGTTAAAGCGGAAGCCGTCGCGACGGAAGCCGTCGTAGCTTCCGAATATCGCGAACGATGCGATGACGAAGCACCTCCCCTTTCAATTCCAATCGAAGAATTCGGTCTGTTTTGATGTTGGTGTTGTTGATGGCGATAAACCTCGGATGGCGACGATCTTAATCGGGGCATTTCATCGTGATAACGAAGTTCCGTGTCCGAATGGCTGGTTGAGGCGAATTCCGATCTTCCAAAACCGCTATCTTGGGAACGCGTTGATGTTCTTGCTGAACGGCGGAAAGATGCTGTTCGAGATCTCCAAGTTCGATTACTGAAAAAAAAAGAAAGAATAAATAATTTATAAAACTCGCGCGACGACAAACGACGTCGTCGATGGTTGGGGGCGGTAAAAGGCTAAAAACCGGGTTGTTGTCGTCGCTTTTACGACCCCTTTACGGCATTTCCGGCCTTTACTCGCCCTCTCTTATTGTACTTCCGTGTCACAAATCTCCTCCGGGAATCGCATGTTTTGCATTTCCGGCGCGACCCACTCCAAAACGGTACGTGATTGAATTTTATATCGTCGATTAATAATAATTAGTACGGAGAGAAAGCCGAAATTGAAATTGAAATTGCATTTACAATGAATTTGAATGATATCGTCCTTTTTTCGTGTTAAGTTACGATTTCGGTGTTGTATTCAATTTTAAACAGAGATTATTTTCGAATGGAAAACTAAATAAATAAAAATTTAATGCGTTTTCTTTCCCCGCGGGAAATTTTTAAAAATTGCTTAATGTAGCAACGATGTAACGAATACATCCGAGAAAAACGTCGATTACTCTTGCAGTTTTTAACGTTTTCGCTTTTCTTTCGCTTACCCGATGTTAGTATTCCCAGCTGAGATTTTTCCACTTTCAAGTAAATCCAATCGAAGTAAGTTTTTCTATTTTCAAGCTTCATTAACTCTAATATTTTTATAACATTTCATCTAGAAGACTAAAATAAAGGGATATGATGGAGTTAAAAGTAAAAAATTATTGGTTAAGTATAATAATAGAATCGTTTTTCTTAATATTTACTAAAAATGCTTTAATTTGATACCCCACTCGATTAGGTTATGTTGATTTTTAGAGATATCCAAGATGGCGGCTGTCAATAATGACATTTTAACGGTGATTTTGGTGGTTTTTAAGATAAATACGCCGAGTTTGGACTTAAATTAAAGCTTTGTTTGTCGATAGTATGAAAATGGAGTAATTATGTCATTTTTAAAAAATTAAAGTTACCAATTTTCAAAAATAATCGTTTTAATTTTTTTTTTTTAATAATCTTATTAATCAATTTCTTAATATTTGCTAAAAATGCTTTAATTTGATACCCCACTCGATTAGGTTATGTTGATTTTTAGAGAAATCCAAGATGGCGGCTGTCAATAATGACATTTCAACTGTGGTTTTGGTGGTTTTTAAGATAAATACGTCGAGTTTGGACTTAAATTAAAGCTTTGCTTATCGATAGTATGAAAATGGAGGAATTATTTCATTTTTTAGAGAATTAAAATTAAAAATTTAAATTAAAAACTAAAATTGTGTTCTTTTTGAAAAATGCTATTAATAAAAATTGTTTGTAATTCAATTCTAAACAAATATTGTTGATAAAAAATTTTGACATGATCGATAATTATTAAAATAACCTCAAAAATATTGATTTTATAAGAGTATACAGCTCCACCTGGTGGAGATATCGAAAAATTCTGTTAATGTAATCGATTCTAAATGATGTTTAAAAAAGATATTATATGAAACATTTTTTGGTAAAAACAATAATTTTGTCTTAAAGTCCCACGATTTGTAATGATATGAATCATACTATTCAGAGGGAAATTAAAATTTGGTTATTTTGAAAAATGTCATTAATAAAAATTGTTTGTATTTTAACACTAAGCAGATATTGATAATAAAAAAATAAGATACGATCAATAATTATTAAGATAACCTCAAAAATATTGATTTTCTACCAGTATACAGCGCCACCTGGTGGAGATATCGAAAAATTTTGTTAATAAAATCGATTTTATTTGATATTTTAAAGAGATATTGTTCAAAACATTTTTCGCTAAAAACAATAATTTTGTCTTAAAGTCCCACGATTTGTAATGATTTGAATCATACTATTCAGAGGGAAATTAAAATTTGGTTATTTTGAAAAACGTTATTAATAAAAATTGTTTGCATTTTAATCCTAAACAAATATTGATAATAGAAAAATGAGATACGATCAATAATTATTAAGATAACCTCAAAAATATTGATTTTATACCAGTATATAGTGCCACCTGGTGGAGATATCGAAAAATTTTGTTAATAAAATCGATTTTATTTGATATTCTAAAGAGATATTGTTCGAAACATTTTTCGCTAAAAACAATAATTTTGTCTTAAAGTCCCACGATTTGTAATGATATGAATCATACTATTCAGAGGGAAATTAAAATTTGGTTATTTTGAAAAATGTTATTAATAAAAATTGTTTGTATTTTAATCCTAAACAAATATTGATAATAAAAAAATGAGATACGATCAATAATTATTAAGGTAACCTGAAAAATATTGATTTTATACCAGTATACAGCGCCACCTGGTGGAAATATCGAAAAATTTTATTAATAAAATCGATTCTATTTGATATTTTAAAGAGATATTGTTCGAAACATTTTTCGCTAAAAGCTATAATTTTGTTTTAAAGTCACACGATTTGTAATGATATGAATCATACTATTCAGAGGGAAATTTAAATTTGGTTATTTTGAAAAATGTCATTAATAAAAATTGTTTGTATTTTAATCCTAAACAAATATTGATAATAAAAAAATTAGATACGATCAATAATTATTAAGATAACCTCAAAAATATTGATTTTACACCAGTATACAGCGCCACCTGGTGGAGATATCGAAAAATTTTGTTAATAAAATTGATTCTATTTGATATTTTAAAGAGATATTGTTCGAAACATTTTTCGCTAAAAACAATAATTTTGTCTTAAAGTCCCACGATTTGTAATGATATGAATCATACTATTCAGAGGGAAATTAAAATTTGGTTATTTAGAAAAATTTTATTAATAAAAATTGTTTGTATTTTAATCCTAAACAAATATTGATAATAAAAAAATTAGATACGATCAATAATTATTAAGATAACCTCAAAAATATTGATTTTATACCAGTATACAGCGCCACCTGGTGGAGATATCGAAAAATTTTGTTAACAAAATCGATTCTAAATGATATTTAAAAAAAATATTATATGAAACATTTTTTGATAAAACCAATTTCTTTTGGCATCGTACTGTTCAGAGGGAAATTAAAATTGGGTTATTTTGAAAAATGTTATTAATAAAAATTGTTTATAATTCAATTCTAAACAAATATTGTTGATAAAATTTTTTGACACGATTGATAATTATTAAGATAATCGGAAATATATCACTTTTCTAGTAATATACAGCGCCATCTAGCGGAGATATGAAAAATATTCATTAAAATAATCGATTTAAAATTTGATTTTAAACAAATATTATACGAGGCATTTTTCGATAAAACAAAAATTTGTTTTATATAGCCTTAACTTGTAGTGATATGAACCATACTATTCAGAGGGAAATAAAAATGTTGTTATTTTGAAAAAAGTTGTTAATAAAAAGTGTTGGTAATCTAATTCTGAACAAATATTGTTAATAAAAATTTTTGATTCAATCAATAATTTTTAAGTTAACCTCAAAAATATTGATTTTTATACCAGTATACAGAGCCACCTAGTGGAGATATCGAAAAATTGTGTTAATATAATCGATTCTAAATGATATTTTAAAAAAATATTATATGAAACATTTTTTGATAAAACCAATTTCCTGTGGCATCGTACTGTTCAGAGGGAAATTAAAATTGGGTTATTTTGAAAAATGTTATTAATAAAAATTGTTTGTAATTCAATTCTAAACAAATATTGTTGATAAAATTTTTTGACACGATTGATAATTATTAAGATAATCGGAAATATATCACTTTTCTAGTAATATACAGCGCCATCTAGCGAAGAGATGAAAAATATTCATTAAAACAATCGATTTAAAATTTGATTTTAAACAAATATTATACGAAGCATTTTTCGATAAAACAAAAATTTGTTTTATATAGCCTTAACTTGTAGTGATATGAACCATACTATTCAGAGGGAAATAAAAATTTAGTTATTTTGAAAAAAGTTGTTAATAAAAAGTGTTGGTAATCTAATCCTGAACAAATATTGTTAATAAAAATTTTTGGTTCATTCAATAATTTTTAAGTTAACCTCAAAAATGTTTAAGGTTATAATTTAATACATTTAAAAAGTTATTTATAGAGTTATTTAAGATTAATGAATTAAAAACTTACGGTGTCCTTTGCACACTTCGCGTAGATCGAGCCCGCTTCGGCTTTTTCGGCTTTTTAGTGCAAACATAACAGCAAACCTTCCAGTATAAAAACCGGAAAGACGTCGCCATGATATCACCAATATTCGAAAGACACAGTAACATTAAGGGAATCCCCAAAATTGCATAAACGATCGTTACCACTTTTCCCCATTGCGTTTTTGGAGCTATGTGACCATAACCTATAAAAACAAAATAAAATTATATAAAAATTAAGAATTAATTGAAAATGTTTATGAATGAATTCGTTTTTTTCGTATGTGATTTTGTGTTATAAGGTCGAGGTCGATGAGTTTTGCATTGACCCAGATTTTGGGACTCCAAAAGCGATTTCTTTTAAGGTTTTTCTCAAGGAATTATTTCTAATTCTATGTTAATTATGAATTTCCTTTTCAAATTTCAATTTTAACGCGACCTTAACGAAAAATAAATTGCGATAAAGACAAAAAGATGAAGGTGAAAGTGAAGATAAAAGCGAAAATAACAAAGAAAACGAAGTTGAAGCTGAAAGTGAAACCGAAATGTCCCCCCTTTTTAATTTTTGTCTCCGTCTTTGTCTAAAATGTGTTAAATGGGGGGAGGAAGAAACGAATTTATCCCTTCTCTTCTTTTGAATTCTTGAGAATGTAAAAATCTATAAATTAACCCAATTCCAGGGTATTGCTTCATTATGTAATATTGCTCTGGTTTGAAAATATTTATTAAGAAATGATTCACAAAGGATTTAAGTTTGGTGAGTTTAATTCTATATTTTGTGTATTTTTTGTGTACTCGATGAAAATTACCTATTTGATGTCATAATTTAATTCTAAATTAACATTGCTAACAACAACGAAATTTAAATTTGGTTATTTTGAAAAATGTCATTAATAAAAATTGTTTGTATTTTAATACTAAGCAGATATTGATAATAAAAAAATAAGATACGATCAATAATTATTAAGATAACATCAAAAATGTTGATTTTCTACCAGTATACAACGCCACCTGATGGAGATATCGAAAAATTTTGTTAATAAAATCGATTTTATTTGATATTTTAAAGAGATATTGTTCGAAACATTTTTCGCTAAAAGCTATAATTTTGTTTTAAAGTCCCACGATTTGTAATGATATGAATCATACTATTCAGAGGGAAATTTAAATTTGGTTATTTTGAAAAATGTCATTAATAAAAATTGTTTGTATTTTAACACTAAGCAGATATTGATAATAAAAAAATAAGATACGATCAATAATTATTAAGATAACCTCAAAAATGTTGTTTTTCTACCAGTATACAACGCCACCTGGTGGAGATATCGAAAAATTTTGTTAATAAAATCGATTTTATTTGATATTTTAAAGAGATATTGTTCGAAACATTTTTCGCTAAAAGCTATAATTTTGTTTTAAAGTCCCACGATTGGTAATGATATGAATCATACTATTCAGAGGGAAATTAAAATATTGTTATTTTGAAAAATGTTATTAATAAAAAATTGTTTGTGATTTAATTTTAAACAAATGTTATTTATAAAAAATTTTGATACGACTAATAATTGTTGACATAACCTCAAAAATAATATTTTTTATATTAGTATAGAGCTCCATCTGGTGGAGATGTCAAAAAATTTTAATAAAATAATCGATTTAGAATTAAATTTTAAACAAATATTATACGAAACATTTTTCGATAAAATTAATTTTTGAAATTCCTTAATTTGCATTGATAGGGCTGTACTATTCAGAGTGAAATTAAAAATTTGTTATTTTGGAAAATGTTATTAATAAAAATTGTTTGTAATTTGGTTCTAAACAAACATTGTTAATAAAAGATTTTGACACGATTAACAATTGTTGATATAACCTCAAAAATATTAATTTTTATACGAGTATAGAGTCCTATCTGGCGGAGATTTCCAAAATTTGTATTAAAATAATCGATTTAAAATTAAATTTTAAACAAATATTGTACGAAACATTTTTCGATAAAATTAATTTTTGAAATTCCTTAATTTGCATTGACAGCGCTATACTATTCAGAGGGAAATTAAAAATTCGTTATTTTGAAAAATGTTATTAATAAAAATTGTTTGTGATTTAGTTCTAAACAAATATTGTTAAAAAAAATTTTGATACGACTAATAATTGTTGACATAACCTCAAAAATAATATTTTTTATATTAGTATAGAGCTCCAACTGGTGGAGATGTCAAAAAATTTTAATAAAATAATCGATTTAGAATTAAATTTTAAACAAATATTATACGAAACATTTTTTGATGAAATTAATTTTTGAAATTCCTTAATTTGCATTGACAGCGCTGTACTATTCAGAGGGAAATTAAAAGTTTGTTATTTTGAAAAAAATTATTAATAAAAATTGCTTGTAATTTAGTTCTAAACAAATATTATTTAATAAAAATTTTGATACGATCAATAATTGTTGACAATCTCAAAATTATTAATTTTTATACGAGTATAGAGCCCCACCTGGTGGAGATGTCGAAAAATTTTATTAAAATAATCGATTTATAATCAAATTTTAAACAAATATTATTCGAAACATTTTTCGATAAAATTAATTTTTGAAATTCCTTAATTTGCATCGACAGCGCTGTACTATTCAGAGGGAAATTAAAAGTTTGTTGTTTTGAAAAATGTTATTAATAAAAATTGTTTGTGATTTAATTTCAAACAAATGTTATTTATAAAAAATTTTGATACGACTAATAATTGTTGACATAACCTCAAAAATAATATTTTTTATACTAGTATAGAGCTCCATCTGGTGGAGATGTTGAAAAATTTTATTAAAATAATCGATTTAAAATCAAATTTTAAACAAATATTATACGAAACATGTTTCGATAAAATTAATTTTTGAAATTCCTTAATTTGCATTGACAGCGCTGTACTATTCAGAGGGAAATTAGAATTTTGTTATTTTGGAAAATGTTGTTAATAAAAATTGTTTGTGATTTAGTTCTAAACAAATGTTGTTCATAAAAAATTTTGATACGACTAATAATTGTTGACATAACCTCAAAAATAATATTTTTTATATTAGTATAGAGCTCCATCTGGTGGAGATGTCAAAAAATTTTAATAAAATAATCGATTTAGAATTAAATTTTAAACAAATATTATACGAAACATTTTTCGATAAAATTAATTTTTGAAATTTCTTAATTTGCATTGACAGCGCTGTACTATTCAGAGGGAATTTAAAAGTTTGTTGTTTTGAAAAATGTTATTAATAAAAATTGTTTGTAATTTGGTTCTAAACAAACATTGTTAATAAAAAATTTTGATACGGTTAATAATTGTTGATATAACCTCAAAAATATTAATTTTTGTACGAGTATAGAGCCCCATCTGGTGGAGATGTCGAAAATTTGTATTGAAATAATTGATTTAGAATCAAATTTTAAACAAATATTATACGAAGCATTTTTCGATAAAATTAATTTTTGAAATTCCTTAATTTGCATTGACAGCGCTGTACTATTCAGAGGGAAATTAAAAATTTGTTATTTTGGAAAATGTTATTAATAAAAATTGTTTGTAATTTGGTTCTAAACAAACATTGTTAATAAAAAATTTTGACACGATTAATAATTGTTGATATAACTTCAAAAATATTAATTTTTATACGAGTATAGAGCCCCATCTGGTGGAGATTTCGAAAATTTGTATTAAAATAATCGATTTAAAATCAAATTTTAAACAAATATTATATGAAACATTTTTTGATAAAATTAATTTTTGATATTCCTTAATTTGTATTGACAGCGCTGTACTATTCAGAGGGAAATTAAAATTTTGTTATTTTGAAAAATGTTATTAATAAAAATTGTTTGTGATTTAATTTTAAATAATTATTATTTATAAAAAATTTTGATACGACTAATAATTGTTTACATAACCTCAAAAATAACATTTTTTATATTGGTATAGAGCTCCATCTGGTGGAGATGTCAAAAAATGTTAATAAAATAATCGATTTAGAATTAAATTTTAAACAAATATTATACGAAACATTTTTCGATAAAATTAATTTTTGAAATTCCTTAATTTGCATTGACAGCGCTGTACTATTCAGAGGGAAATTAAAAATTTGTTATTTTGAAAAATGTTATTAATAAAAATTGTTTGTAATTTGGTTCTAAACAAACATTGTTAATAAAAAATTTTGACACGATTAATAATTGTTGATATAACCTCAAAAATATTAATATTTATACGAGTATAGAGCCCCATCTGGTGGAGATTTCGAAAATTTTTATTAAAATAATTGATTTAGAATTAAATTTTAAATAAATATTGTACGAAACATTTTTCGATAAAATTAATTTTTGATATTCCTTAATTTGCATTGACAGCGCTGTACTATTCAGAGGGAAATTAAAAATTTGTTGTTTTGAAAAATGTTATTAATAAAAATTGTTTGTGATTTAGTTCTAAACAAATATTGTTAATAAAAAATAGCCCCTCGTATCGAAGATGTCGAAAAACTGTATTAAAAAAATCGATTTTAAAATATCAAAAAATTTGTTTGAAAATATTTATTTCGAAACGAATCACAAAGGATTTAAATTTGGCGAATTTTAAACTTCATGTATTTCGTGTTATTAATTCATTCAAAGAGAGAGAGGGAATTTTCGCGATTATTTATTTCCTCTTTTTTGCGAATTCGGTGAAAATCCCCCGTTTGAGGTGAATTTGACCGATTCAAAAATGCGCGGAATTTTCATAAACATTTCAGCAGAATATTCCGGGCTCTGTCCAATATTCAAATAACATAATAATATAACAAACAAACAGCGTGGGACGTTTACTAGAATCCTATCGGATTTTAAACGAATAAATTTCCACGTTAAAATAATCCACGTCCGACAATTATCGGTTTTGTATATAAATGTTGTTTATTTCGCGCACGTTTCTATATTCTAATTTTGATTTATACCTTTTATTTCACAGCGATTACAACTTTATCTATCACCCTTTTATTACCCACTAAATCGAATTGCGAAAGAGACGAATGGATTTGGAAAAAGAATAACGATGAAGGAACAAGGTAATTCAATTTACACAAAAGGTGGAGTTTTTGAAAAAAAATATTAGAAATATAACTCCATTTAACTTTTTTTATTTCTGCTTTAATTTCTTTTTCTTTCCAGTCGCAAGATCGGCTCGAAATACGAGATTTACGAGCCAAATTTAGAGGGAAATGGTCCTGAGTCTCCGGATGTTATCCCGTTTCGTCCTGGACAATTAAATAGACCCGGAAATTACGACCCGCAAAGGTAAATATTCCGGGCTGTAACAATTATAGCCGTAACCGTACCCAAAATCGACGGATTTCGGACGCATTTAAGGTTATTATATTCGTAGGAGAGAAACTAATGACGTTAAACGAAACACGTTTCGTTTTAATTAAATATTTTTGCTTCATTTAACGACTCACAACCGATTCGAAACGCAAGAAATGGAACAAAAATCAAAAAAAAACGAACGGAGAAGTTGAACGAGCGAAACGAGCCCTGAAATTCTCCACCCCCAGCCATCGTACTTTTAAGGGGCCACTTCGGCCGCGCGCAATTGCATTTTAAAGCGGCCCCCGCGGCCGACCTTTCACCGTCGTACTCTATTCTCTAAAAACCTCCATCCATCCCTTTTCCGTCATCATCGTTTCAACGAACCGTTTATATTTTCCAGGGAACCTTCCCCCCATGGAACGGAACGTCACGATGTCTTAGTGGGGCCATCCTACGGTCGGGGACCTTTCGAGTATGTCGATAAATGTAGCTGCACGGAACGATTTAATTGTCGTGGGTTAGCTTATGTGAGTTAATTAAGTTTTTTGAGAAAAAAAATGATTTCGGGATTTTTCGTTTCGGTTAATTAGGGACATTGCGATGTTGGTAGACAGTATTGTTGTGAGGGAAGGAGATCGGGGTTGCCACCTTCGAGGCCGATTCATTCCCCGGAAAATGGGATTTTGGTGGGTCCGGGCGGTGGGGGTGTTCCACATCCTTTCCATCATGGAAATAGGGGTGGATATGGGAGGGGGGATTATGATGGGGAGGTTCTTGTGAGGCCCGGAGGCCCAACTGGACATTTAGGACGACCGGGGAAAGGTAAATCACAAATAAATTTTCAATAATTTAAACGAAATTCATTAACTTTTTTCTCCGAAATGGGTTAAAATTAAGAAATAAAATATATTTGAGGTTATAAAGGATTGTTTGAGGTTAGGTTATACCAAATTATAACCTTCCAAGATAATTGGTTTGTTTTTTATAAAACTTAAAAAGTTCCGAGTTCAATTGACGTTTCTAAAAAGTGAATAAAGAAAAAAATGATTTTCTCCAAAACTGTTAGGAATTAAAGAATGAAATTTTTTGAGGTTATAAAGGATCGTTTGAGGTTAGGTTACACCGAATTATAACCTTCCAGGATAATTGGTTTGTTTTTTATAAAACTTAAAAAGTTCCGAGTTCATTTGACGTTTCTAAAAAGTGAATAAAGAAAAAAATGATTTTCTCCAAAACTGTTAGGAATTAAAGAATGAAATTTTTTGAGGTTATAAAGGATCGTTTGAGGTTAGGTTACACCGAATTATAACCTTCCAGGATAATTGGTTTGTTTTTTATAAAACTTAAAAAGTTCCGAGTTCATTTGACGTTTCTAAAAAGTGAATAAAGAAAAAAATGATTTTCTCCAAAACTGTTAGGAATTAAAGAATGAAATTTTTTGAGGTTATAAAGGATCGTTTGAGGTTAGGTTACACCGAATTATAACCTTCCAGGATAATTGGTTTGTTTTTTATAAAACTTAAAAAGTTCCGAGTTCATTTGACGTTTCTAAAAAGTGAATAAAGAAAAAAATGATTTTCTCCAAAACTGTTAGGAATTAAAGAATGAAATTTTTTGAGGTTATAAAGGATCGTTTGAGGTTAGGTTACACCGAATTATAACCTTCCAGGATAATTGGTTTGTTTTTTATAAAACTTAAAAAGTTCCGAGTTCATTTGACGTTTCTAAAAAGTGAATAAAGAAAAAAATGATTTTCTCCAAAACTGTTAGGAATTAAAGAATGAAATTTTTTGAGGTTATAAAGGATCGTTTGAGGTTAGGTTACACCGAATTATAACCTTCCAGGATAATTGGTTTGTTTTTTATAAAACTTAAAAAGTTCCGAGTTCATTTGACGTTTCTAAAAAGTGAATAAAGAAAAAAATGATTTTCTCCAAAACTGTTAGGAATTAAAGAATGAAATTTTTTGAGGTTATAAAGGATCGTTTGAGGTTAGGTTACACCGAATTATAACCTTCCAGGATAATTGGTTTGTTTTTTATAAAACTTAAAAAGTTCCGAGTTCATTTGACGTTTCTAAAAAGTTAATAAAGAAAAAAATGATTTTCTCCAAAACTGTTAGGAATTAAAGAATGAATTTTTTTGAGGTTATAAAGGATCGTTTGAGGTTAGGTTACACCGAATTATAACCTTCCAGGATAATTGGTTTGTTTTTTATAAAACTTAAAAAGTTCCGAGTTCATTTGACGTTTTTAAAAAGTGAATAAAGAAAAAAATGATTTTCTCCAAAACTGTTAGGAATTAAAGAATGAATTTTTTTGAGGTTATAAATGATCGTTTGAGGTTAGGTTACACCGAATTATAACCTTCCAGGATAATTGGTTTGTTTTTTATAAAACTTAAAAAGTTCCGAATTCATTTGACGTTTATAAAAAGTGAATAAAGAAAAAAATGATTTTCTCCAAAACTGTTAGGAATTAAAGAATGAAATTTTTTGAGGTTATAAAGGATCGTTTGAGGTTAGATTATACCGAATTTTAAGATTCCCAGATGAACAGTTTTTTTATAAAGATTTTTAAAAATCACCTCTTTAGATTTGACGTTTTTGAAAGTGAGGTTGAAGAAAAATTGTGTTTCCCCGAAATGGATTAAAATTAAGGAATAAAATCGATTTTAGGTTATAAAGAATTGTTTGAGGTTAGGTTATACCGAATTTTAAGTTTCCCGGATGAACCATTTTTTTTATAAAAATTTTTAAGAATCACCCCTTCAATTAATTTGATGTTTTTGAAAGTGAGGTTGAAAAAAAGTTGTTTTTCTCCGAAATGGATTAAAATTAAGGAATAAAATCGATTTGAGGTTATAAAGAATTGTTTGAGGTTAGGTTATACCGAATTTTAAGTTTCCCGGATAAACACAGTTTTTTCTATAAAAATTTTTGAAAATCACTTCTTTAGATTTGACGTTTTTGATACATAAACAACAAAGTTGACAATGAACTGTCAAAAGTTGACGTTTAAAATACAAAGATGACGTGTAAATAATGAAGTTGGCAACTAAATGTCAAAATTAATTTGTTATTTCAAAAAGTAATTTGTTAATATTAAATGTTGAGACGATTTTTTAAAATTAAATGTTAAAAGTTGACGTTTTAGAATCGTAATTGACGTGTAAATAATAAATATGACAATTAACTGTCAAAAAGTGACGTTTAAAAATTAAAACTGTCATTTGTAGTCAAAAAAGGAGCTACTTGAGTGTAAAATCGTTCACTCATCCTCTAACTCTAAATACTCTGAGAATCTGGAATATTTAGAGAGTATGCTTTGATAACAGAGATTAAAAACGAAGAAGGAAACTGGGTAGAGAGAGAAGAGATTGGAAACAGACAAAAATGTCAAGAACTACATATAACGAGTAGGAAGGCGTTCTTTTCTGAGTCTTTTTGACACACACCTATCAGCTTTTTCTATTTTCTGGAATCTTTGGAACAATCTCAAAAACCTCCAAATTATTATTTTAAATTTGTTCGTTCTTGTTAAGTATCTTAGAGATATTTTTAATCGATTTGAACAGTTTTGACACACACCATTTTATATTTTCTGTTTCCCAGTATCTTTGAAACCCTTTCAAAAAACGTCAAAATCATTTTTCTGTAATCTTTCGTCCTCTTTAAGTATCTTAGTGATGTTATTAACCAAATAGAACCTTTTTGATTTAATCCAATTAGCTTTTACCATATAGGGAAATTTTTTAATTTTCTGAAAAACATCTCCTTCGTTATTATTGAGTTATTTTGTATATGTCTAACAACTTTCAGAGTAGTTTTCAGTCGATTAGAATGATTTTGACAAACACCAATCAATTTTATCTAGTTCCTAATATCTTTAAAACTCTTTCAAAAAACGTCAAAATGATTTTTATTAATTCTTTCATCATTTCTAGATATTCTAAAGACGTTTTTAACCGATTAGAATGATTTTGACAAACACCAATCAATTTTATCTAGTTCCTAATATCTTTAAAACCCTTTCAAAAAACGTCAAAATGATTTTTATTGATTATTTCAACCTTACTAGATATTCTAGGGACGTTTTTAATCGATTAGAATGATTTTGACAAACACCAATCAATTTTATCTAGTTCCTAATATCTTTAAAACCCTTTCCAAAAACGTCAAAATTATTTTTATTAATTCTTTCATCATTTCTAGATATTCTAAAGACGTTTTTAATCGATTAGAATGGTTTTGACAAACACCAATCAATTTTATTTAGTTCCTAATATCTTTAAAACCCTTTCAAAAAACGTCAAAATGATTTTTATTAATTCTTTCAACCTTACTAGATATTCTAGACACGTTTTTAATCGATTAGAGTGATTTCGACAAACACCATTCAATGTTATCTAGTTCCTAATATCTTTAAAACCCTTTCAAAAAACGTCAAAATGATTTTTATTAATTCTTTCAACCTTACTAGATATTCTAGAGACGTTTTTAATCGATTAGAATGATTTCGACAAACACCAATCAATTTTATCTAGTTCCTAATATCATTAAAACCCTTTCAAAAAACGTCAAAATGATTTTTATTAATTCTTTCATGCTTACTAAATATTCAAGAGACGTTTTTAATCGATTAGAATGATTTTGACAAACACCAATTAATTTTATCTAGTTCCTAATATCTTTAAAACCCTTTCAAAAAACGTCAAAATGATTTTTATTAATTTTTTCAACCTTACTAAATATTCTAGAGACATTTTTAATCGATTAGAACGATTTTGACAAACACCAACCAACTTTCTTTCGTAATTGTACTAGACATTTAGCATTTATTACCATTTTTATGGGTTGTGATATTGATATTCACTAAACCTGGATAAATTAAGGCTTGATATCAAAATTAATTAAATTATGAAACGTCACTTGTCATATTTTTGGCCTTTGATATAAAAAATTAAATCCCTAGTATCTTTTTTGTGTGTATTGAGTGGGGTGACATTGTTCGGCGGAAAAGAATGCAACAAGTCGGTTAGGAATGAGAGTACAAAAAAGGAAGGGTTTATGGTGGATAGACGAAAGAAGGGAAACGCGGTGGATATTTCATTCATACAGACCGGATATGAAGGGATTCCACTTGGCGCTCGCGAGGAAACCGACCGGGATTTCTCACAATACTTGGCGAGACTTCCCGCAGAAAAAGGATTCTTGCTATTCCCCCTTGTCTTTAACGTTCTTTACCCTTTAAACCGGAAATAAGAAAATTCAAAAAATAACCACCCAAAAGAAAATAAAAAGAAAGAACTCTGAAAAGTGTTCCTCGACGGGAAATGAACAGATTTCCCTTAACTTTTTATGCAAAGAAAATAATTGGATTAATTTTTATCTTTATTTTTAGGATCTGGCTTTGGATTAGAAAATGGGGTTTTAGCTGGACCTAATCGCAATAATTATTACCATCAAGGCCAATATGGGAGATCAAGAGGATAAAATTACAAATTAAAAATTTAATTTTAAGGTTATGTTAACTGTCAAATTTGACAGTTATTAAAAAATTTTAATAAATAAACCAAAGAACTTAAAATTTTTGACTTTTTGAATTCAAGTCGTAGACAAAAGCTTACTTAATAACTTTATCCATCATCCGGTTCATTGTTTGAACCGATTCGTTCGGTCCAGTTTTGAAGGATTCCGCATCCATATCCAAATATTTGGGGCGCCCGTTGCGGACGCAACGTCACCACTTAAGCCTCCGATAAACGTTTACCCTCAGCAAATATTCCCCCTCCTTTTTGAAAAGAACCCATTCCACTTCAATCAAGAAGTGAAACGATCCATTTTCTAAATTCCAGAATGGAAAACAAACCGGAAATGATACAATCATTTGTAATCTTCATTAAAAATCCTTTAAAATGAGTATAAACACGACATATTTATCTTCAATATTAATGGAGTTATGGTCAACTTCCGGTTAAGTATGTCAACGTCAATTTTGACATATTTGTAATCTTGATTAAAAATCCTTTAATATGAGTACAAACACGACATATTTATCTCCAATATTAATGAAGTTATGGTCAACTTCCGGTTTGAAATGTCAATGTCATTTTGACATATTCTTCATTTTTATAAAATGTCTTAATATTTGTCTCAAAAACAAATTTATAATAACAAAATAAAAAATTAAGGTTGGTATTAATATTTAAAAATTAAATTGCTATCTTCATTGTTGCCAACTTCGGGTTTAATGTTTTTTATTCTAACTTT